GCGCTGAGAGGCACCAGGCATGACGTCATCCAGTAGTGTGTGTAGGGGCGCGGGATGCGGCCCCGCCGCCCTCCGGTGGACTCGGCTCGTCGCTCGGCTCGAAGCGCAGCTCGGAGCTCGGCTTGAACCGTCTCGGCCTAGGAACGCGCGTGGCGCGGTAATTCAAACTCTAACCTAACTATGAAGAGAGAACCAAATGAATTCAGAAACATTATTTTCAAACCATGTCTCTATTGAGAAGTATTTTCCGGTTTTTTCTTTCGGCTTCACTTTTAAAAGTATACTTGTTCTTATGTACTAGAAAGAAAAAAGATTGTCTAATGTAGGCAGACGGCATATATCTCGTTTAGACCACGACTGACACGACTTCATCGCTTGCCCTCGCAATTTCCCTAAAACGCAGAGAACGTGAGTCGGGGAAATCGAAATGGAAACAAACAATATTACCTGAATCCTGTTGTACTGGGTGATTCAAACAAGTCCCAGGTGCGAGCGGGTGCGCTACAGAAGGGGCCATAACGCCTTACGGGCAGAGCGAGTAGGCAAACCCGCGCGCACTCGTTCTTCTCTGAATCACCCGGTATAATATCAGATGCGATGGAGAACTGATTGTTATGCGATTATTTCAACAAATTAAACAACAGCCACAGATCAGTTTCCTCATTTTCTCCCATAGCCTGATTTTGTGGTTGACGTAAAGCAACTACTCTCTCGTACTTACATTTGCGGACAACATGTCGGCTGGAACTGCACCGGGGCGCGAGGCACTCCATGTCGGTGAACTCGACTCCCGCAAAGGCCCAAGAGCGACACCCTTCAGCGTGTCGTCCTCGCGGCCCGTGCCTGGGGAACGCCCCATGACCAGGCCCAGAGCGCTTCGAGGACAAAGACGGCTACGCTCGCAGCCTGGCCAAAGCCCAGCACGAAGAAGGCCGGGCCCAGTTGCCAAAACGACAGCACCCGCGGCCCCTGCAGCGACACCAGCCTCCTCGCGTGGCGCTGGCGCTCCCGCTCGTACTCCTCGCTGCGCCAGCGCGCGCGCAGCCCCGCCGCCTCCGAGCGCGCCAGCACCCTGGAGATGGGCCGCTCCAACGGCGACCCCTTCGGCGCCATCGCGATGATGCCCCGGTCGGAGTAGCCCAGAGGGAAGTAGTGCAGCTTCTTGGGCGTCAGCATGTAGGGCGTCATGGCGGTCCGGACGTGGCGGTCCAGGTAGGCGACGAGCGCGCAGTTGCGCGCGCTGGCGACCGTGTCGATGAACGACTTGATGTCCGAGTACCCCACGTACGGATGGGTCCGCGCGTTAGGCAGCAGAGGAAGGATGCTTGACAAGCGGATGCTCAAGAAAGACTGAACGTGCACGGGCAGGCCGCTGTCCTTGAGGTCATGCAGGCTGTCCAGGTCACGACGAGGGACAGCCGAGGACAGCTCGCCCAGCAGCAGGCCCTGATAGGCGGCGGTCAGCACGACACAGACGAGCAGCCAGGCGGCCAGCATGGGCCGGGGCGGGGTGGGTGGCGGTGGCGCCTGCCCAACCATCGGGGCCAGCGCCTGCAGCAGCGCGCCGCTCACGCCCTGCCGCCGGGCGCACGCGAAGACCACCACCGTGCACAACATGGCCAGCCCCGTGGCGCACCACAGCCCCGCGGAGAACTCGACCGTGACCGCGGCCAGGACGTTCACACCAGGGCCAAGGCCCGCGGGCACGATGACGACGATGCGACTCACCTCCCCGTCAAACACGTGCATCAGATCAAGAGATATGGTTGGTGGGAACACCGACATGTCTGTCAGGAGCGCGCCAAGTCTGCAAGCCCTCAACCCCAACATGACACTAAGGATACTATTTACCTCTTCATACGTCACGTTGAGCACGGGACGTGAGCGTTGCTGTTGGCCCTGGCCGACCGAGCGCTGGACGCTCTTCGCCAGCTCCATAAGCGACGACTTGTAAGAGAAGCCACTCGCCGTCATGAGGGACACGTTGAGAGCGCGGCCGCCACCTCCCATCTGCCAGTCCCAGCTGCAGAACTCGGTGAACACGGCGGCCCTCTGGCGCCAGCGCTGTTCGACGGCCGACCAACGGTCTATTTCGATGACAGTGATTGCCCTGTGTCTGCAGCTGGCCTCAGTGGTACACGTCAGCTTGTAGAGGACAGTGCTGCCGTCGGGGGCGGTGAGGGCCAAAGCGATCTGGCCCATTCCCAGCCATATGTTCTTGTGGGAGACGACGCGCAGAACGTCGTCTCGAGCTTGAAGCGACGTCACCGAAGTCCAGAGGATCGTGCGGATTACTTGTTTACTGGATCTGGCGTAGACGTTTATTATGAAGACCAGCTCATCCGGCCTTCCGGTGGTGGCTAACTGAACGAGCCTTACGTAGCGTCGTGTAGACAGCTCACTCACCATCCTGAGGTTCATGCACCAGCCGTGAAGTTGTTCACACCCGTCACTTAAGCTTACCACTCGCGGGATGTCCGCGTCGAGCTGGCGGAGGAAGGCGTTTGTCCAACGCGTCTGATTCAGCACGATGAGGGTGGCCTTCTGGGCTTGCAGGAACGGCGCGAGCAGCGCCACGGCGCTCGCGGCCTCGGGGTCGACGGGCAAGTGCACGACGGGCAGGTCGGCGTGCACCCCGGGCGCTGCGAAGCCGAGGAGCAACATGAGCAGAGCGACCCCCATGGTAGCGGGCGCGAATTACAAGTCCGTCCCCTTGCTCCACCCGCCTTCAAATGAGTCCAGCGTGGCAGCCGGTCGCCCTCCTGTGCTACGACTAGGTAGCAGTTAGCTCTTCGATTTGTCGCTTCCAAAGACATGTGATGTAGCGAATGTAAAGAAGGAAAAGTGGCCCCTATGGAAAATGTGCTTCCGTTTTCACTCACCGCTCGACACATTTTGCTGCGTCTGGGTGCCGCCTGACAGAGTTTGTCGGTGATTCGCACCTTTAGGAAAGTCGTTCCTTTGAAATGCATGTGTGGAAAGGTTTGTTAGGCCGCGCATATTCGAGACCAATCGTTTTCTCCAGCAGTGACGTGTACAGGGTGTCAAGTCTCCCTGTAGTTTTGAATAGGCGGACTAGCCCGCCCGCAGACGGGGCCGGTCGAGAAGCAAAACTCGTTGGAGGTGCGCAGCCAGCGCGCATGTCACCGTCACCCTTTGCCCTTCGCGTCTACCGACGACGCTATGTGGCCGGTGCGACTTTCTAGTCCATCCCCCTGCCTGCTCCACCCACCTTCAAATGTGACCCATCATGGCTGCCCCGAAGAGCAGCTAGCTAGGTCCTGTCACTCAAGAGGCACGTGGACATACGTAGTCGCATCTGATCAAGGAAATAAGTGGCCCGTTGGTAAAATGTTTTATCCTTTTCACATGCCGCTCGGTTCCGAACGCCTAGTAATTGGTACTACCTGCTGGCAGCGTTTGTCGTTTTGTTCGATTGTTTTGATGGGCAATTAAAGGGAAGCTTTGCTTTGAACTCACGATTCAAGTGTGCAAGGTTTGCGAACACCGTTGTGTGCCAGCAGTGTAATAAGAACACACAAGAAAAGTGTACTTGATGTAGTACTCACAAGGAAGAGTGTACTTACCATAGCACAAACTTACAAAGGAACGTTTTCTGGTTGTACAATCAAACTTCAACCTGTAGTTGTTTGCACCCTTAGACAAGGTTTGGCACTGGTTCCTGGAACTGGGACTACTTTGGACTCCCCGCTGTCCGTCAGTCGAGAGACCAGCAGCTCCAAAGCAAGGACAGCTGCACCGAAAATGTGGCCGCCTATCAGGCACATGAACGCTGGATACATCTGCCGCAAGGTCAGAGACCGCGCCGGCGACAGGCCAGCCATGGTCTTCTCCCGCGTCAGTCGCTCCGTAAAGTCCGCCAGGGCGTTGAAACGCTGCAACAACCCCCCTTCAAGCGACCCCCGAAGGGTCACGGCGATGGCTTCGCCGAGTGGCGAGCCACGGCTCCACAGGCCTAGGACTCTTAAAAACGAAGCGCCTGTCGTGAAAAAGTGCAAGGACTTAGTAGGTGTCAGCCCGGACTGGATAGCTCGATCCACTTCTGCATCCATGTCAACTATAAGGGCACAATTTCGGCCAACCACAACGCGATTGGCGATGAAATCGACGGGAACCAAAAATTTTGGCAAACTGATTACTTTATATCGACCTGACTAAATTATCCAATCAACACGATTGAAATTTGGTCGACGGAAACAACATTTCGTTGGTTTCCTCAACACTAAATTTAGTTGAGTTGAACAATCGGTTTTCTGAGTGCGACCGCCTACGCCACCTACGCCGACAGGGCGCGCGCGTTTATAAGCAGATGATACCTTAGATATTTTCACTAAATATAACGAATACATAAGTAACTTTAAGGTGTCAGCTAGCTATAACTCTCGATCAGCAGGAGAGAGAACTAAAGAGCCAAACTAGAAATCAGTTTTTGTGCGCTGGGGGAATGGTGTCCGAGTGAGTGTCGCGCTGGGCCCCTTCCTTTGCCCCGGCGTCGCCCTCTTGCCCTGCCCTCCCCGTATGTCCTCCTCTACACCAATAGGCCACCGAACCGCAAGATTGCAAAGCAACCAAAAACAAATGCATAGCAGCTAATAAGAGAGAGAAAAAAAAAGAACATTGCCCTGTTCATAAATTTGTATCATCTGCTTTCAAGATCGATTCTTGATTGAGACATTTTTATGTACTTCTAAGGGGTAACTAACTCGTTCCCATTCAAAACGATGATGAAAATAGCGAACACTGACGCTTTTTAGCATAAAACGGTAAAAAATCAAAATATTTTCTTCGGAATGCGATGGAGTACAATGGCAAGCGGCATGTCGTCTGACTCGGTTTTGAGCGTAGATCACGTTTTCGACAACGGCTATCGTCTACAAAAATTATTTTAAGAATTATTCAAAGAAAATTGAAAACAGACCTATTCTTAAACTTGTATCATCTGCTTTCAAGATAGATTCTTGATTTAGATTTTTTGATTCATAGACAACTTTATTTCCCTTCGTGGGTTCGTTCCTCAGTGAACAAGATTGTCAACGTTTCTCGGCAGCCGCGGGTGCGGACGTCGTCGTCTTGAGGCCTTTGCTCTTCGGTCGATTCCGCACTCGAAAGAACTCGCCGGCGGCGTCCGCGCAGATGTGCGGGTCCCCCCGCGAGTCGATGGCTGTCAGGCGCGACCGCCACACCGGGCCCTCCAGGCGGAGCGGGCCGCTCATGGTGTTGAGCAGGTCCATGGCCAGCGTGCCGTTGGCCAGCTTGTACTCGCCCTGCAGCAAACATCAATAGTGTGCATCACTTCTGTACTCGTCTTTGACTCATCTGTTTTCATTCACCCTTGCAGAATTCACCCTGGAATCTGAATGTACTCATGTGTCATCAGGCATACTCGAGTGTCTGTATGTTGTACTCAATTAAACTCTTGTGTACTCCGGTGTATTTTCAAAGTACTGCGTATTTTGTACTATTGTACTGAATGAACTCCTGCGTACTCGCCGTGTACTCGTGCGTTCCCATATACTCACAGTTCATTGTGCAGGAAAATATCAAGAAATTTACTCTGACTGGCGGGCTGTCAAACATCCCTTCGAGGGGGCAATAACTCTGGGAATCATGTGTACAGACCGGCCCAGGAATCAGCTGGAATCAATGAGAATCGCGGCGGAAACCAACGGAAATCAATGAGAATCACGGCCGGAATCAATGGGAATCAACGGTAATCGTGGATTCCTGGAATCATGTGTACACTTGAATTCAGAGTTATTCCCCCTCGCATCCCTTGAACAACAGTAACAATAGACTTACAGACTACAGTGACTCACCTTGGTGATGGGGCAGCTCATCTTGGGTTGAAAGCTGGCGACGATCGGGGCCCAGGGCATGGCGGCGCTCATCATGAGGATGCAAATGTCGTGGAACTCGAACGTCCGGAAGGTCGAGCACGTGGCCGCGGACACGGCCTGGTCGCACTGCTCGACCACGATGATGCCCCTGGGCCACTTCTCCACCGACCGGTTGATGGTCACGTTCAGGTGGAACACGACGGTGGTGCGGCCGCGCCACTCGAGGGCCACCGCTACCGCCTTGATGGCGTTGTGGTCGAGGTCGCACGGCCGGATGAAGGCGGGTCGCAGCTCGAGGTGCGTCTTGTCATAGCTCTTCCTGGCGGCCGAGCCGAGGACGAGCATCGCCAGCAGCGGCTCCAGCCGGACCCTCACCATGCTGCATCGTGCACGGGGCTCTGCCTCTGCTGGCCGCCGTGCTTTGGCGGACACGACTAACAAACGGTGATATCCGGTAGAGCCTGGCGTGTGCGGCCCCGTCCCCTCCTAGCGCAGTGCCTCCAAAAAGGGCAGGCAGGTGTACTCGCTTCGGCGCCCATGCTGGGCGGCAGAGGGAGTAGCCCGCGACAGCCCGCCCGTTCGGAGGCACTGCCTGGCGTGAGCCCGCCCGCACTTTTTTCGCGGCTTGCGTATTTTTTTAGGTACCGCGGTGACACGCCATCAGCATTCGTCTTTTGCTATCAGTATGGAACTGTTGTGGTAGTGAATACAGGGTCCTGTCAGGGAACAGTTGGTAACTGGGAGTATGGGTACACGTGTATTAGGTCACTGATAACTACACAGGCGAACCTCCAACTTCCTACTCCTGATGGCGGCTGCCCGACCTGGTATCCCCTGCCCCCACCCAGGCCGCTGCGCTTCCAGCCGGGCGTCCTGCACTGGCGGGGTGAATCCCGGTGAATCCCTTACGTCAGCTGTACAGCAGTTCCAGTCATCTCTCTGCCTGATAGATCGTCGTCGTTCGTTTGTCTAGCTGACAGGTGCAGCTGAGTGGGAGCCAATATTTGAATCTAATGTGTTACGCCTGTATGAAGAAAATGCCCGATAAGAGGAACAAGAAGGTACCGCAGGCGCGGTGGTGTGGCGTAGCGCCGTCCTTAAACAAAGCAGAAGATGAGCGACGTTCTAGCAGAGGTTAGGATGCGTGTCGTTAGATTTCAAACAGTTCAGCATGGGTATGTGATGTGCATCTATCACCTTGGTACCATCCCGACGGAGGTTTATTACGACCGTAGAGTCAATATTATTGAGTTAAAATTGCACCAGTGAAATATGTCCACTCACTAACCTTCAACGACAGTGGGTTTAGAAGATTGTGCAAACTCACTTTTCCGAAGCTAAACTTTACACAAACACTTCTCGTCTTGACACAAAAATGCCACTCGAGTATAATCAAGACCGTTTTATTTTCACAAATTTACAAAACTTGGTTTAGTAAGACCCGATGATCACACATGCATGCACTCGCGGCCAAACAAAACATGGTCGCGTGCGTTCTGCTAGAACCCTAGAAGCACTGCCGCCACAACCGAGTCCTGTCGGCCATAAATATTCACAAGGTAGGCAATTGAGCTAGAAACCACCTTTATATACGCCACTGGCTGTACGCCACTGGCTGTACGCCACTGGCTGTACGCCACTGGCTGTACGCCACTGGCTGTACGCCACTGGCTGTACGCCACTGG